ATACTCTTGAAAAAAATCAGACCTTGCCTAAGACTGAGAAGGTAAGAATTATTCTATTTAGTATTTTGTCCTCTTTTAGGTATGAAATATTGGTAATGTGAACTTTATTTAAATGTAATATTTTAGCTGTAAATCTTGGATTCAGTTGACATTTTTGTGCATGTCCATGAGAACCTTGATGAAAGTGTTTGATTATCAAACAAATTATGTTTTAAATTTGAAACTATTTAAACTTTATACCAGGTTTATAATGTGTTTTGACTTTACATCAGCAAACTAAGTCATTTTAACCTGACAGGATGACACACACTTGTTTAAATTTTTGGCTGTAATTCTGGCTAAAGGATGAGCTCCATTAGTTGTATTCAGGACTGGTGTGGTCCTGCTCATTTTAATTGGATGGGCCCAGCAGTGTGGAAGGTCAGCATAACGCCTTTTATCTGCTGTTTGTATCATATATGGCTTTTAGTCATATATGATACTGTATGTGTCATATATGGCTTTTTTTGGACAACATTTATCTGTGTATCAATGTGTTTCTTTATTTACATATGAACTTCCAGTTTGCAATGGTTTGTCTTCCTCAACAAAATCAAAGGCAGAGTGGACTGATGAGTGGCAGCCTATCGTTTGATCCATCCTACATCATTAAGTGCTAGTTTTGTCTGTTTCGAAGGTCTGTGGCTGCAGTGTTTGTAGGAGATTGTGGGAATGGTCTTATATGATTTTCAGTATATCTTTGATTATTGGTTTAGTGCTTGTGCTTTTAGTTGTTGCTGCTAATATTTATTAGTAAAACTTTGCATGGATAATGCCTGAAATTTGTATCCTGCATTTGTAACTAAAAAAATGTAATGTCTATGGGAGAGAAATATTTTGGGAGACTTTTGTTTAGTACAAGCCAAGTTACTTGCAAATGCATAGGATTCTCTGTATGTTTTTATAGAGATATATTGTAAGTATTTTCTTCTAGAAGTCTTTTAGTTAGTTGCTGAACTTGGTTGATTTATGCCATAAAGTTCTGCTGAAAGAAAATGGTAACATTAGAGGTTGTATTTGGAGGTGGTTTGGGGTGAAATAATGTAGCAACACATGAGTTAACAAACCATTAAGGGCTGAGGGCTAGATGACATAATAACTAATAACTCATAGGAAAATTAATTAGTAATGTTTAATACTCAAAATTGTGTATGTTGTATGTGTGGGCATAATGGCCATTTCAGTAACATGGAGCATGCAGCTCTGTCCGTGGTCCTGAAATTTTGCAGCATGGCTACATTCTTGCCGATCACTTAGAACAATCATTTTCCAGTTGACTTAGTACATAAAAGATAGGGGTAAGGTAAGGAGCACACGCTGATTACAGCGCGTTGCCGCACTCGGCACGTGACAAACCACCTCAGGGATGAGAACCTGAGTGCAGCCGTGCGGTGGGTGATACCTCAGCACCACACCGGTCCGAATGGACCAGTGTGAGTTTTTTTTTCCGGTGGCTGGAGTGTCAATCCTGCCACCAACCCCCAAGTTTCCCTGTAAGTTGGAGGACCTCCTTTTATGTAAGTTTTGTCTTTTTGCTTCTGCAATACAAATTTGTTAGTAAACCATCACCCCCCCTCCCCCACAAGGCAATCGCTTTCACCATCATCACCTATCATCCTCCCCCAACACCTTTTGGCATCACCACTCTCCCACCACTCTCTTATGCTTGAGGTGAGTAGTTCTATAAATAACACAAATGGTACCTAAGTTGAGTTTAGCATGAGGCTATGATATAAATGGCACCACTGATATCCTAGGACCTCAGGACCAGGAGTTCTTTAATGACACGTGATTTTCCAAATTATTCTGTTGTTACTGGTGCATCGACGGCCTTTCCTTTGCTTGTTTGCAATTTTAGTGAAAAGTCCCATATTGACAATATATAGACGTGGAAGACATGTACAGAACAGAAATATATATCCTCCTGAGACCCCACCCATTCATTTATGTCCATTGCAGTGGACATTTTATTTTTGCATCTGTCTTTTCACTGATGTTAGGAAACATATTTATTCCTGTTGTGCACTAAAGAGGACATGCTGTGAAATTTAAAAATAAAAATAAATTTGAAAAAATCTAAATTGTAAGATGTCTTTTTCCCTTCAAAGACAGATAACCTAAATTTGAAGGACACTTTTTTTCCTTGGGTCTCAGGAGGATATACAACATAAAAACACAGAGAGATTATGTGCATACAGACCAGATGACGCACAAATGATGAAGAACAGTGTAAAATTAACGGTAAAGTACATCGTTTCCTATTAACGCACCATATGTGCAGTTTTCATTGACTTTATTTTTTGTCACATTAGCTTTAGAAAAGTTAACAGTATTTTAAAAACAAAGTTAAAATATTTCTATCACAAGGGCTGGTCATCTGCTGTTAGATTAATGCATCTGCCGTCTTCTTTAGATTGTTTTGTAACTGGAGTCGTTCACGTGTAGGCCTATATTGGTCATTGGGTTCATAGTTAATATCTTGTATTCCTGGGAATATTAGCCTACATTATTGCACATTGTATGGCACTGTGTGAAGATCTAAGTCCTTTCAGTAAGTTTTCCTTGGAAATGTTAGAGATTTGATTGAGAAATTTGGCCTAATAGGTGACTGAGCATCAGCAAATGTGTCTGCATTTAGCCTGTTCATTTATGTTTCAGCTGGTTATTAGTAGAGCATTAAATACTCGGCATACTGTGTGTACATATTATCAACACACTGTGGCCTTTGTCAGCTCTGGACTACCCCAGATGGAATCGCCTCCGATTCCAGGAGTATTTTATCCTAGGGTTATATAACATCCTAGGGTTTATATAGGGTCATATAGGGTTTAATATCCTAGGGTTATATAACATACTTGAACTTTTCGTATCATGAACATTAGAACTAGATTTTTTAAACTGGGCTAAATAACACTATCTTTGAAAGTAAATTAAGAGCATTATAAAAGTACTGTGCATTTCAGAAAAGAATAGGTGAAGTGAGAAAGTAAAACTAGAGATAATCATGAAAAATGCTCATATTCGACAAGTATTATTTAAGCATAATTTTCCTCTATAGTACCTACACTAAAAAAAAATTATGGCAAAAACTTAGACTTTCTGTATTTTAATTACATAACAATTTTCCATGTAGTTTTATTACATAAGTTTGACCTAAAGGGTCTTATTTCTCTCATGTTCAGTATACTTAAGTAAATTAAATAAACTTAATGTACATTACTATGTAAACTTTGTGTAATAATTAAATAGACACATAAGGGTTATTTACAACTTCACCTTAACACTTAATCATTGTATGTTGCACATAGAGTTATTGTGAAGTTTTACATTAGCCTTATGTGTTAATTATTGAGTTAAGAATATTTACATAAAACTTAAGTGTTTATATGTAGTTATGTAGTAAAGTTAATGTATGTTTTTATATGGTAAAACAAGCAATCAAATAAACTTCTATATTATAAATCTGGAAAACAAAACACTAACATTTTTGGCAAATACAATAAACACAGACAGATAGAACAGATCCTAACAGCCCAACTGTCCAGTCCGTTCCCTGTGACCACTTACTGAAGCATCTTGATTTTAAGCGTTTGAACCTTTGGGGACAGTTTGTTGCCATACAAGTTCATCAACACTTTCTGGAAGAACTCAAATGTGTATTTAGGTTCCTGGGGATAGCTCAGGTTGAGTGGGTGAATAGCACGACACACCCAGAGGAAATAATTCTCAGTTTAAGCAGCTCCACACCCTCAGTCACCACTCCGACATCATCTGGTTTATCCTCTTCACCAGCACCTTCACTGCGAATCACAGAAATCCCCACTGTGGTCTGAGAGATCTCTCTCTTAACTTCCTCACCATTGACATCCTAATATTGGAAAAAACAAACATGGTCATGGAGCAAACAAGCAAACACAACACACAAAACAAATATATTACAAGTTAAATCTTAAAATCTCACAGTAATGATACTACTGACCAAGTAATCCTTGATGAACGTGTTGCTGTCTTCATTGAGGTAGACACAGACTTCTAATGACACAGTCCCTCTTGAGTTCAATGCTCTCACTCTGCAAAAGAAGGCATATAAAATGACAAATTTTAATATTTTCCAGCACACTTTACATAAAGATTATTCTCACACCAGTAATTACATTTTGCCAGTTGACTAAAGAGAGGCGGCAAGTTGGTAAACAGAAGTACTTTGAGCTACGAGACTGAGATGAGAGTGTTTACACACCTATAGCTGAAGTTCAAGTCTGGACTAAAAGAAACAAAATGACAATACAGATTGCTGACAAAATACATTATGCTTAAATCAGTGATCGCTAGAAAAAGGTTTTATTTTGCTTAATAATGTAAAAGTGTAACGTTAATGAGCAAAGTTGCAGAGAAGACAGACACGTGCTAAAGTGACAAAAATGTATTTAGCAATATATAAGCTACATCATAAATGACACAGACATATTGTTAGCACAAAAAACGGCAAGGATTACAGACGATTAAAAAACTCACCTAATCAAACTCCTCGACACCCGTCTGCTTCAGCCAAAATCATGCCCGACGTTCGTGGAGGCGTGGCAATTATAAATATTTTACAGTAAAATTGTTGCATTATCGCCACCTATTGTGCTGGAGTGTAATACATGTAATATATGTTATCTATTCAAATATAGTTTACCTGGTTTATTTAGATTTAGATATACATTATGTGTATGTGCTTTACATTAATACACTTTTGATTTCAGATATTTTAGTTACATTTTACTTAAAACTATTTCTTAATATTTACTAGGGCCACGACTCATTTTTTTTAGTGTACTTACCCGTTATCATAACTTCTCACCTAGTGCCGGTTGGTGGTTTCACACACACCCCGCAGGTATCAAACCCCCAACCCTGAGGGCAGGCTACGCATTAAATTACCTTACCGACCGCCATTTATATGATATGATTTCATATAATGCGTAGATCAACCGGGTATAGAAAATCAATTAGTGAAATTTAACTAAGCGCATTGTTATTAAATCTCAAAATGTAGGCTATATACAGTTTCTTTCTTTTTTTTTTAAATATATCGTTAAACACACGGTGTCACTGTTGACTGTGAAAACAAAGGCTGCAATACCCACGGTTACACCCTCAGCTGTGCTCTCCGGTCGCAGAA